TTTTTTTTCTTTTTTTAAGATAAGTCCAAACTGCATGGAGATAGTTCATACTGATTCTATGTGATTGCTCTTACTGATTTTCTTCAACACTTAGCTTATTATAAGGAACTTCCCATTTAAAAAAAATATCCTGCCAGTTAGGATGTCTTTTCTAATGCTTGCTTGCTGTGTTGCCAGTTGAGGTTGTACTTGTCATTTTGAAACCTCCCTTAATTGCCCTTGCTTCTGGCTGTTTTGGGGAGGGTGTTCACATGAGAACATCTGATTCTACTCCTATTTGGCCAGGCTGCCCTGCCTCCTACGTGCCCTCTGATGTTAGCTCCTCAGCTTCCCTGTCTCCTCTCAGAGCTCTCCTCATGGTCACTGTTCCTCTGTCACTCCCCCTTGCCTGGGAGGAAGATGCACTCACAGTTCTTTCAGGGCTAAGTCCCCACCAGTGCTCCTTGTACCGTCTGTTCCTGCCTACTTATAAACTTTCTCCATCTATAACTCCTCTCTCTGTCCAAGGCCCTCAGGAAGTACCAATGTATGCTTGTTAAATAAACCTGTAGGCTGTGATCCAGTTCAGGTATAGGAGCCTGCTTAGTTTTTCTAGGCTCATTTGGCCTGATCCTAATGGTGCCTCCCAGGCCCGAACCCAAAGAGATGATAGAGGTGGGAAGGGGAGGGCTGTAGAAGACAGGTGGGTTTCTTCTCTCCTTCCTCTCTGCACCCACTGTGCTTATGGAGTAGTCTATTACAGCATTTAACATGCTATATTATAATTTTATGATGTCTTTAAGTTTTTCCTCCCTACTAGACCATGAATTTCTCTAGGGCTTTTAGCTTCCCTTGGGCCTCATATACAGTGCCTGGCACTTGCACAGGTTCTCAGTAAATGTTTGGGGAATAAACAAAGGAAAGGACTCACTGAGTAATCAGATGAGACTAGCNCAGTAAATGTTTGGGGAATAAACAAAGGAAAGGACTCACTGAGTAATCAGATGAGACTAGCAAACTACTCTGCAAGCAAAGCCAGGAGATGATGAGGTTTAGCTCAGGCACATTTATCTTGGACTTCCAATTTATCTTGGACCTCTGATGCCTAGTAGGTGTTTATTTATTGAACTAATCTAACCCAAAAGAGTTACTGTAACAGTTGGCATTTCAGGCCAATAAAGAGGGAAGAAGGGAGCTATAGTGAGCCAGTGAAACAGTTTTTGAGAAGACAAAAAGGATTCCTCCTCCTCACCTCTCTCCCTTTAAGCTTTGTAGCCAGTTACATGACAACTATATAATCCAGCAAGTGATGTCCTTTGAACATTCCCGTAATGAATATCATGCACAGAGCCGGGGCAGGTCTTAGACCAGAGGTAAGGGAGAAAACTGAAGCAAGGTTGTGAGACTTTACACAGTTTACAAGGTTGTTTGAGCCAGCACACTCCGATTGGCAGAGGCAGGGATGCGTGAGCCACTCTTTTCAATGATCCAATGTTTGTGTATATTTCCCTAAAGCAAAGGTGATGGAGTGGAGCGTGCACCCCGGATTGAAAATACAGAAAGAGCTACCATTAGTAAGGAAGACTCATTCTCCAGCACACGTGGGATTAAAGGTAGGTTTCAATGGGAGAGCAGGGCACAGAAGTAGTGGGGTGAAACCAGCTGCTTAGACGCTGAGGAAGACATCTCCTGAGTCCCAGCCCTTCCTTAATTATAAGAGGGATAAAAAAGGAAAGCATTTATACCATCTGTGTGATGTAAAATCTATTTCTTTTTTTTTTTTTTCCTTTTTGTCTTTTTTACTGACCGGCAACGGGATCGCAACCTTCGTCGTGACCGGCAACGGGATCGCAACCCTCGGTGTTGTGCCCGCACCTCACTTAGCCAGTGAGCGGGAACCAGTCTCCACATGGGATCCAATCCCTCGGCGGGAGCGCCACTGCACTCCCAAGCAGCGCACTCTCCAGTGCGCCACCGGGCCGGCCCTAAAATCTATTTCTTGCTATTCATTGTGTAGATCTAGGCCAGATTAAAATGAAGGGCAAATGTCTCACATTGAGAAGTTACTCCCTCTTCAGAAGAGCTGTCCTCTTAAGGAAACAGATATAGGAATAAGAGCATAGCTGGAATGTCTGTGCTTTAGAGAAAGACCCTGGATGGTGGCACTTTATTTCTTTCTCTGTCCAGGACTTAACCATAGAAAGGGTAAGAGCTCCTGATCCAGGCGCTTCCCCACAAGAGTTGAGCTCTAACCTCTTTGGGCATCAATTTTCTTATAGGCAGAATTGAGTAGGGGATTAAAAAGTAAAGCACGTGTGGAGGCATTTTTATATTTTATATTTTAACGACATATGATAGATTATGTGTTCATGGGGTTTGAATGTGCTATTTTTGTTGTCATCTTTTCTTTTATTAACTATTTAAACTAAAATAATTTTTTTTCCAAAAGATTTTTTACT